GATTCATGACGACTCAAATTGAGTCATACATGCCTACGGACTAAAAAGTCCCCTACATTCTCAACTCAAAATCCTGAAAATCCCTGCAGTACGACCAATTAAGGTATTCCTTCACAGGGCAGGTTAGAAGAGCACTTAGCGTGCATTCACTCCGATTGTGTACTAAGTATTTCGTCCGCTCTAACAGTATTTATTGTTCTAGAGATTATGCTCTTGTAAAAGCTCCATTCTTCGATGCTTGCCAACATCTGCATTACCATAGTAGAAGGGCTGGATTCCCCAATTAGTGTCTCTAGATTTTGTCTAGTATCTACGAATCTTATACAGTCTCTAATTATGTGGTCAGGACTCTCAATTTTATCTGGACAGGACTGGCAGTACGGGTTACTTGCTAGCCTAAACCGGTATAAGTATTCACGGAAGCAGCCATGCCCCGTAAGAAACTGTGTTAATTGAAATCCCAAGTCTCCCGATCCTCGGTTAATCCAAACTCTTATATTTGGAATTAACGAATGCGTCCATCTTGATTTTTGGGAATGGTCCCACCTATGTTGCCATTCATTAAGGTATTTGTCTCTTATATCTAGATAAGACTCTGCCAGAGATTGCCCAGTTTCAGTCGTTCGCCGACGAGAGCGCTGTAAGAAATTGTCTCTGGCCAAGAACGCTTCAAGGTCTATTGGCATGCGTCCAGCCAATACTCCCGCAGCATCGTCCGAATACTGTACGGTAAGCACGGCAGATGCGTAGGTTTGACAATCTATGTGCACTTTTCATTAGACGTGAATACGACTTAATGGTTGTAGCATGTGCCCACACCGGAGCAGCATAAAGCATCACCGACTTGGAGACTGATGCTAAAAGAACTCTAGCGGTGTCCTTGGGACCTCCTATGTTTGGCATTAATCGAGATAATGCGTTGCAGACACGTGCTGCTTTATCTCCCGATTGTTTTAGGTGAGTTTTGAAACTCAACCTACTATCTAAGGTTACACCAAGATATGTAAGTTGGGGGCTAGATTGTATATCTACTCCACCCACTTTAATTGAGAGTTGTTCAATCTTTTTCCTACTTGTGATTAATAGCACCTCAGTTTTATGTTCAGCAAGCTCTAATCCGCTGTATTGCAGCCACGATTTAGCTGCCGCAATAGTAGCGCTGCAATTCCTAGCCACTTCGTCTAGAGTTTTTGCAACCACTACTATTGCAATATCATCTGCATACCCAACTACGTGCACTCCGTCCGGCTTTTCAATTCGAAGGATACCATCGTACATGATATTCCAAAGAATTGGCCCTAGAACTGATCCCTGGGGGACCCCTCCCGTAATCCTATATATTTTGGGTCCGGATTCTGTATCATATAAGAGTAATCTGTCTTTAAAATATGATGTTATAATTTTCAAAAGATATTCTGGGACTCTCATTTTCATCAGTGCATTTAAGATGCTACTCCACTCAGCAGTGTTGAAAGCATTTTTAACGTCTAAGGTCACTACCGCGCAGTACTTTTTAGTACCACCTAGCCACCTTACGCCCTTAGTAGCTTCCTTTGCAATGTTGCATACATGTAGTACAGCATCAACAGTACAGCGTTTAGGTCTAAAGCCAAATTGGTTATTTGATAGACCCTGTCTTGCCTCTGTGAATTTTTCTAATCTAGAACTTATAATTCTTTCAAGGACCTTACCTGCAGTGTCTAATAAGCATAAAGGTCTATAAGATGATGGCAGTTCTGGGGACTTATTACCTTTAGGAATAAGCACCAATCTTTGCTTTTTCCAACACGAAGGGAAGATTCCTTCCTGTAGGCAGCTGTTGTAAACATCCGTAAATATAGAAGCTTGTTTTTGTATTGCCTTCTTCTGTACAGTATTGGGGATTCCATCCAAACCAGGAGATTTATTGGGCTTAACTCTGGAAGAAGCGGCTATGACTTCAGAATTTGTAACCGGAGGTATCTCATTTAAATCGGTGTTTATCGGTATTAAAATTCTAAGTTCTCCCTTTTTTGGGAACAAATGTTTCACGATATTCGCCATTATTTTAGGACATGAAGGTACCGAGCCTCTTA